AAGACAACATTTCTAGGCCGAATGTTGATTTCTTTCTTAACGCGCAAGTTGTTTTTTAGCCACTAATACTTTGAATAAGGCATTATCATTATAATCTGGTATATTTCAAAGATCTTTGAGAAAAATGTTATACTTTGAAGAGTGTTTCCAGACTGTTTGGTTTGACAAAAATAATAGGAAGGGGAGGACACACCTCTTTATTTTATTGAATAAAAATTTTTATTTTTTTATTTTTAAAAATTTTCAAATTAAATAGTCTCTAAATTATATGTTTTTAATTAAGAGAAAAGTATTTATCAATCAAATTCTAAAAAAATTAAAAGAAAAAAATTTTAAAATTATATTGCTTTAATAAATTTTAATTTAAAAATATTAAAATAACTTATTTCAAAACCAAAATTGAGTTTTTTTTTTTTTGTCTGCTGTTGTGATATTTTAATGAAATGACATAGTTTTAAAATATTTTTCTTTTTATTTTTTAAAAATCTAGCTAATACACACCAATCTCTTTAATTAAAGTAATGACTATTTTTTTTGTCAAGTTATAAAATAGAGTAATATTTTAAAGAAACTTAAGCTCCATTTTAATCGAATTTTCAGTTTTAATTCTTAGTTTTGATTTTTTTACATTTAATAACTAACATTATATTTGGATTAAATATAATTTTTTAGAATATATTTACATTTTTAAATATACTAATAGTAATTAAATATAAAAAAATTTAAGATCAAAATTCAAAACACAATTAAATAAAGTCTTATTAACTTCTTTAAGAAGTTAAGAATATCTCAGTTCGAAAAAAAAAAAAAAAGCTAAGAATATCAATTCCTTAACAAGTTAACATATATAACTTTACACTCAATTAGTGGATGATTAAGGTATTTCTACCTTTTAAGAAACATGTATTCATTGAATTTTCTTTAATGAATATGTATTCAAAATTTCTTAAGTAAATTTTTTTTAACTATAATAGTTATTATTTCCAAGCACTTATCCCCTAAAGATATGTATGTTGTTTCATCCATGCCCATGAACGCAATTATAAATAAATGCCATACACAAATAGGGAGAAATTTTCAAATGGGGTTGGTTTATTAGTGTAATGAGTGAGGTTGTTGTGCAATGATTTGGAAAAAGACACCACTAGACCTACCTCTGACTTAATCCACTGCTTTCTTCCCTTTCCCTCCACTTGATTCTACAATATTAAATTTGGTGATGCTGGCTTAGGTAGATTTTTATCAAAGACCTTTTGTCTCTCAACTATGTCGAGGAACATTATACTAATAATCTTTTATCATTCATCAGATCCAAGAACAGCATTAAACGTCAGGGAAAAAAAATTATCAAAAACTGTGTATGGTAAGATCTTTTTCTATTTTTTAATAGAAAAGATGGTACTACATGCCTTCATGGGCCAGTGAAAGGAAAGCATAATTGCACTTTTATAAAAGTGTTCTTTTGTGTTATAATATACTTTCTTTTTCTAGCGTGTGTGCATGAGGGTAATCGAGTGCTTTTTGTACCAATTGAAGCCTTTGATTAGGCCATGGGAGGCAGCAATTATGCCTTAAAATGAGGTTTGGAGACACTTCTGCACTCACTGAAATTGTTTGCA